TGAAACTCACTCATGTATTGTGAGTGTAGCATAAGAAAAATTTCTCATGTAAAATGACAAAATTATTTTCCTATATATATATATATATATATCGACGTAGGATTTTTTGACACTAATGTCAAATTTGAGATTTAACATCTTATCTTAAAGTTGTTAGATAAAAAAAAAAAAAATCAATGGTGTCACATGCTTACAAATCAGAGTAGTTCATCTTTTTTGATTTAATGATTCTCAGATGAAATGTCAAATTTCAAATTTGACACTGGTATCAAAGGATCTTATCTTATATATATATATATATATATATATATATATATATATATATAAGACCCATATTTTTTTTTTTTTCTTCACATGAGCTCATATGGATTTCGTATATTTTTATTTGTGTATAGAAGATAAAATTTATCTCTTACAATATAAAAAATATTAATCTGATTTATAAATCTGATTTTAATTATTGTATATTAAGTTAATATTCATGATACAAGAAATGAAGAGAAATTCATTTTGGGAGAACACGCATTTTCTTTCTAATTAATTTTATTTTTATAATATTTGAAAAAACTGAGAATGGTGCTATAACTTCTCCCTGAAATTGTGCTGTTTGAATTTACATTTACGTCGTGTATCTCTTGCTTCCAACGTTTCCAAGTTACTTTACTGAGTATCCACTCAAGCTTTGATATATTGTGAGGAGTGAGGAAGATCAGAAAGTATCAGATTGTCAGAGAAAACAATGAAACTATGCTACACACACGTGTCCTTTTAAGTCCACCCCATTGGGATCAATTGAGTCCGTGCTTGCGAGCGCAATGTAACTTCAACTTACATGGTAAACGATTATCTTACTCCTGTTGACCTAATACACATGGCAAAAAATTTCTTACTTTTTCGGACCTAATTCAATGAATGCGCCAATTAACAGCCGAACAATAGAGTTATAATAGGTCCTGTTTTCTTTCGCCCTTAGAATTAATAGTGACTCACATGTCAATTAATGGGCATGTGAGTCACTATATGCACCTGAAAATTTGAACTTTTTTGTTGACTACTAAATTTTGAAAATTTCAAATCAACTAAGAAAGATCGAAAGTGGTTGGCAGCTAATGTACACGTTTTTTTTTTTTTTTTTACAACTTCAATCTATTCAAATCATTGGCTCTTATTCCCTTCATCAATGGAGTTCATTTCTTTATCTCTTGTTTTTCTTTTATCATGTTTTGTAACTAAACCCTTAATTAGGAAATTAATGTATGTCAAGACTCCTCTTCTCCTCACACACATCACTTGTCTCACCTAATTTAGACAACATACAACATTTATTACTTTTAACGACAATTATTGTCGTCACAAAAAAAGAATTTTGTTGTAGTGATAATAAAATAGACTAATTATTATCACTATTTTTTAGGAATAAGCTAACTATTAAACCTAATAGTTTATTGTTATTAGACAAATATCATTATAATCTAGGGGAAGAATATCGTGACAACCAAGTGACTACCAATCAATCTTACCGTTAGATCGATTATATTGATCCAACGATTATATTTATTTCCATCTTTGTATGGTCATGATTCCCCAAATTTAATACTTTATATTTATTTTCACCTTTGTATGGTTATGATTTCCTATATTTAATGCTTTCACTTTAAATACGGGGAATCATGACCATACAAAGATGGAAATAAATATAACCGTTGGATCAACATAATCGATCTAACGGTGAGATTGATTGGTAGTCACTTGGTAGTAACACAATTTGGTTGTCACAATATCCTTCCCCTTATATCTATAATATAATAAAATAGTAGCTATGTAATTTGGAGAAGGATTCATTTATAATTATTTTTTACAAATTACATTAAGTACTTTGGGAAGTATACTAGTATACTTCCGAAAGTACATAATGTAATTTGTAAATATAACATTTTCCTGTAATTTAGTTTGTAAATAGGATTATAATGTGAAAGAGACTTACCATGCGCCTAATGAAGCGCTACGGAGGCTCACGCTTCCTTCTATCAGTGCGAGGAGAATATCTTTGGTATTACGGATGCACCGAAAACTCGATGTATCTTTCACTTATATTATGACACGTGTCTTACTTTATATCAAATCACTCTCTTTCTTAATTTTAAAATAAATTATTTATTATTGATTTGATAAAAATAAAACATATATTACAATATAACTATAAGATGCATCAAATTTATGATATATCCGTAGCACCAAAAACTTTTCCCCTTAACAACATAAGAGTGGATCGCACATGAGACGCAATACTGTATCTTCGCATGCAGTTTCGGGAGCGTGTATTCTAATTTCTACAAATAACAAAATGAAATCAATCAATTAAGTGACATAATAGATGTTATATTTTCACTAAAGCAAAGAGAGAGAAGATAAAGAAAATTACGTTAATGGACACAGGCCTCTTGAACATCTCTGACAGCAGTTTAATTGTTCCATAATATTCCTCACCAAAAAACGTTTGATGCTCTTGTCCTGTGTTAACTATATAACCAGAATTAAACCATCTCTTTTGAACCGCACAAATTTCTTAAACCCAACAACAATATATACAAAGCCCACACCCCTTTTAACTCAACAGAACAACAATGGCGCGACCCAACCCAGTATTTCCATCATTTGCAGCCTAAGAACAACCAAAGCCTGAAATCAAAACTATGATTTCCTAAAATAAAAACCATTTTTTTTTTCACTGATTGACCTCCCTAAACGCCAACATAATCTACTGGGAGTAATAAAAGATTGGGAGCATGCATGTTTGTTTGTGAGGTGGCATAAGGCTTTGATCCCAATTTCCAAGTGTGAGTTTTTCTGGGAGAAACAAAGTTAGGGAGATTGGGTAGAGGAAGTAGGTTTTAAGGGTGGGAAGGCTTTATTTCATTTGTGCTTTTGTCATATGGTTTAATGAAATTTTGAGGGTGTGATTGGACAACAATAATATGTTCATATAGAAGTTCAAATAGGCGAGAACATGATTATTTAGGTTCATATAGATGAGAATTTAGTAGTTTGCATTATTTTAGAGTTTCCCTTAATTTTGAGTAACACTCTTGAGCATTTGATGTAACACTTGAAGCACTTTCAAATTATTTGTTAGAGAAGTATAAAAATCATTAAAGTAATTTCACCCAATAAGTTAAGTTTTGAATTAAATTCGTTCTTCACGTTATATTAGTGAGCTCTCATGTGAGGGGACATGTTAGAAAAGTACAAAAATCGTTAATATAACCTCATCCTATAGCTCAAACTTTTAGATTGAATTGATTCTTTTCATCATTCTTTCTTAAACCTATAACCTCAAACACAAAATGTCAAATTTGAAGTGCTATGAACTATATGAAGCGAGACAGTGATTGTAGTGTGTGTGGTGGAGTGGGGTAGGCTGATGTTGGTGCAGTGAAGTGGAAGGCATACAGGGAGAGTATTGTCTCTGCTATGGCCTGCAATATGAGTGTCGTGCTTTATAGTATGCAGGTATTGTCTTGGAGGGTGGTCAACAAAAAGAAGAAAATGACTTTCTTTTCTCCAATTATGTTGTACAGATTTTTTACTTATACAGAAATCTCATGGATTTAATCTCATTGGTTTATGATTGTTTCTTTGGTGGCTCATCTTTATATTCTCATGTATCAAGGATCTTAACTTGAGTTGGACCGGACCGGACAACTTATATATTATTGGAATTAGTTTTTTTAATTCCAACTAAAGGTGTTGTCCAATGAATCACATAGAATCTGTAAAGTTTTTCTATAAAATTATTCGAATTGTATGTTACATTTTGAGAATACAACCAATAGTATAAATCAATAAATCATATATTTATTTTTTTTGGATAAGTTTCAGATCCCTTTTAATGAGTCAAAATGTTAAACCAATTTGGACTCTCTTGTTCCTGTAGGAACACAATTTGGACTTATGTGCATTGTTTTCTTTGGGCATCTCTAGTTTGAAAACGCCACAATAAAAAGGCCCGTTAGACAAAAAGGTCCTAAACATACATATGTATTAAATAGGTGAGTCACGGCACTTTTTTTTTTTTTGCTCCAAATGAAGCGATTAAGGAGTCTTTAGAACACTCATGCTGCTCAGGCCCACTTCATATTTGATATGAACTCTCTTACAAACCAAGAAGGATTTTGCTTTTCGAGCAGAAATGTGAAGCTTCCATGGTTTGGAACTTGAGAATTTTATTAATTTTTGTGTGTGTGTGTCAATTTCGAAGGTCCAAAATGTTGGTCTACAGTCTATAATCGCAAGTAAACTATTTTTGAAAATTCAACGATTTCGCGTGAAAATTCCACGTTAATGCTTTGTCGGCAAGAAAACTATTGATATTAGAAAAATGAAAAAAAAACCCTTCAAAATCCGTTCGAATAAGTCCTATTATGTGGCAGGACTCTAATTCACTAATTAGAGGGTTGGTATCTTTTAACAATATTTTTTACATTTACTAAAACGGAGACGATTAAAAAGTAATGCACAAGTGCAATATTTGGGGAATGGATAGAGGCTCAAGGTACCTAAAAGTCCTAAACCACTGTATATATCTTTTTTGCAAAATCTCTTCATTTATTTTTTTAATTACTTGGTTTTTCATCATCTTGCTTTATCTTGTGCATTTTCTAGCCCTTGTCAAGTTTTCATTTTGCCTGTTAAATTGTGGACCATGAAAACTCTATTGCCAAAATAATCTTGAAAAATCATGAAGTGTTTTAAAACCACATCCTCTTGGATAGTTTACCTTATTCATTGACTTGATCCCCAAATCTGAAATCTCAGACTGCAAATTTGGCTCTAACACCACCACTTGACGCCAAACAAACAAAACGAGTTATGATTGTGCAGAAAAAAAAATGTTAAAAATGATACGGAATTGAACTTAAGTGCACTAGAGAATATGGTAGCTGCAATTATATTAAATTCTAGAAAAAAAATCCCATAACTCAATTTCACACCACCACAATAACAATAACAAATATAAATATAGAATTTCATAAATTACAGGAAATAAAAAATGTCGATAAAAAGTCAAATTGAAACATCGGATTGCAAGATTTTTTTCTTGAGATTTGCACAAATGATCTTGTCCAAAAACTAATGTGCATCACTCCTCATCTGCTGTGAATCCACCACAAGAGATTACTGTATGAGTTACCATCATCAAAACCTTTCAACACTCTTATCTTCTTCAATGCTTTTTCCTTATCATAAATTCCTTGTAAGGCATAGGTAAACCCCTTCCACCCTTCTACATTTGATTTATTGTTCAAAGAAGGCAATGTCCATTCCACAAGCTCCTTCACATAAGCAGCATCATAGAGCAAGGGCTCAGTAATAGGCAACAAGGGTAAAACTTGGATACTAAGCCTACACTCTCTACACTCAGCAGGAGCCCACCATAGCTTACTGTCTCTCTTATTAGCCCACAGAATACCCACTATCCTGTTATCTTTTGCAAAATCTTCTTTGTACAAGTTGTCTTCCACTTTTACATGCCACCAAGTTTGTGCAGAACGAATTTCCAATGCTACAAGTGTTGATCCAGTGGCAACAAGATTGGTGTCACCATATGCTAGACCCATCAATGCTGCTGAATAGTATGCATTCACAGCTTCACTTGAACTTTCCTGATTCCTTCCATCTTCAAATTCAGTCAAACCTGAAGCCCAAGAATGTAACTTGTAAAGGTCAAAACACCTTAGGCGTGGATAATTTGAGTTATATCTTTGGCCCAAGTTCATAAAATCTGTCACAAGTGAATAAGCTTGCGGTTTGTATTTTTGTCCCCAGGCAGGGTCAATCTTTGCAAGTACTGCAATTCCATAAAGGAAGTACCCCAAATGAAAATGGTGATCATTGTAAATCCCAAATCCAAAATCAGCTGTTGAATCTGTAGACCCTTGTTCAGTAACAAGTCCACCCCACTTTCTATCATATAGAAAACCATTCCCCTTGAAAGTTCCATCCAACCAGGGCTGAATAGTATCCTTCAGAAACTCCCTAATTGTGGGAATCACTTTAGGAAAAGACACTTCTTCTGCTATTAATGCCAACCTTGCAGCCCTTCCAACAAGCTTCCCATAAAAATAAGATGAATTTGTTGATATTGCAGAAGAATTTAGCTCCTTGACATCTTTAGAAAGCGCTGAAACAATCTCATCATATGATTCCTCTTTGATACCTCGGTTAGAATGCCATGTTACAGGAACAGGATCGGTTTCTAACGCCCATGAATCTCCAACAACACCAACAAGATCACCATCAACGCTTCTATATTTAAAATCTTGCAGAACAGTAACATTACAATCCTTTGATAGAAGCTTAACATGAAGAGGGTGAGCTAGCATGAGCAAATCCCCAGACCTTTTCTTTTGCCATTTATAAACCACACGAAATGTCTTCTTGAGTGCTGCATCCCCAGAGACAGGGTAACAAGAGCTGAACTTGTCAAGAATTTCACCACACTTGGGGTTGGAATCAGGAAGCACTGCTATACGAATTATGCCATAAAATGGCTTGGATTTAACCTCAGAAACTCCATGGTTTAAATTGATCGGGGAAGATGTGTATATGAGCCATGTTTGATTGTTGTTGAGCTGAAGGGTGTACTTGGTTTTGTCATCATTGGAAGACAAGAAAACTATGGTATGCACTGTTGTGATGGAAAGAGAGGTTGGCTTAGTCACAGAAGCAGTTATAAAAGGGCTTCCTCTGACAAGAAAGAACCTAAGATTGGAAGAGGGAATATCCAAAGTGATACCAAGATCACTGTAGGATGAGATAACATGGTTTTTTGCAAGTGAGTTTGTGTGATTTTTTTGAGTGGCAGAGATGGTGATATCTGGGACAAAAACCTGATACAAAATTGCTGCACTAAAGAAGAGAAAAGGGTATGAGGCTTGGAGAGAGGAGTCTGAGGATTTGATGAGGTAAGGGTGGATGTATTCAGGCTTGTCCCCATTTTGTAGAACAAAGTTTTCAAAGAAAGAGTTTGTGGGAAGAGGAGATGAAAGAAGGTTTGGGGAGAAGAAGTTTGAAGGGTCAGGTAGGACTGTGGAATGAGCTTGAGGGAAGAGGAATGGAGGAGAAGACATTGTTTGAGGATTGGTGTGTTGTTAACAATGTTGTTGATTGGTGCTGCCCACTTATATGAGCTAAGCCAGGTTTAAATTAATTGTTAACAAAGTTTTTTGGTATAGTAGGAGAGAAAAAAGAAAACGGAATAATACTTTAATAATATATATATATTGATGAAATGAATTGTTGTTATTTCAGTATATTCTATTGGATATTTTATATACACTGAGTAAATGTATTTCTATAAATAAGTTTATTTTGTCCAATGTTGTTAAAATCGAGATCTTAAGTAAAATCAGATGAGGATTACAAAATCATAAAACATAAAATCGTAATGTAAAAAAATCATAAAAACGTAAAAACGTTTAGAATATTAGTAAAATCCTTTTGATGAAAAAAAATCGTAAAAACGTAAAATCATAGTAATAAATCGAGATTTTAACAACAATAATTCTGTCTAATTTTAGGGATTGAATTCACTGATTGCCAGAGATTTTTTTTCTTATTTAATTATAATCTCATTTAAAGCAATATACAGAGAGTTATGTCTAGTTTCTTCTCTCTATGTCTGAATATCCTTATATATAATACAGTGATGGATGTGATTCAAAAAATAAAAGTATAAGTCCTATTCATATTATGTAGGGAATTTTTAACCTAACCATAAAAACCGTGAAATACAAGAAAATAAAGAAACTAATTTTTAAAATTTTAAATTATATTAAGATATAATTTTAATATTAAACAAATACTTTAAATATTCTAACATTATCAAGGATAGCAATATTAACAACCTTATTATTATAAAAAAAAAATTCTATTATAAGCTGAACATTTATAATGTTGACTTTTTAAAATAATGGTTGTTGGGGATTACATGGTGCCTGATATCCGTTATGTTTGACGAAGAGATGGAATTAATGTCTCCTCAGATGATAAATTGAAAATTGTGCGTCACCAATTTTTTTTTTTTTAATACAAGAGGGAATTGAAGACACAGGCTAATATAATTTATTCAAATTTTTGGTCATTAGACCAATCTTAATGGCTTATCATTTATTTTAAATTTATTAACCTTGGATTTTTTGGAAGTTTATTAAGAGAAAATAGCTGGTTGATTATATTTTACGGTTTAGTATTTATTTTTTAAAGTATATAGAATTATGTCATTTTACAAAAAAAAATAATATAAACAATTGAAATTATGAAAGAGAAAATGAATATTTTTTTAAATTTAAATTTTAATAGAAAATACTAAATTGTATTTTTCTTTAATTTGAAATGACACAATTATATATTTATTAAAAGAATAATTTTTTTTTTTATATTTTATTACAAAATAATAATAATAAAAAAAAATCTTATGCTAAAGAGGCAGAGACGCAGACGCAAAGGCATGTGTCCATTTCCAAGGCACGTGAAAATTCCAACAAGTGGTACAATAACTTTCAACGAGTTATTCGATACCATTTTTGTATGCCTTTTTCAGTGTTTAAATATACAATCCGTTGAGTACCAATATATATATGTATATATATATATATATATATATATATATATATATAATCCGTTATAAAGTAATTATTATTTATTTCTTTTTATAAATATTCAAAAATACATTAAAAATATAACTCGGTTTAAATAAGTTATTTTTTATTAAGAAATAGCAATACATTTTAAAAAATAATTAACAATTTTTATTTTTTTTGAAGAGTAACATATTAGAAAAGCTTTTCTTAATGTATTGCACGGGAAATTCTTATCTAATATGAGAATATCATACTACTATACAAAAATATAAACAAGAGCATGTATGTTGTTATATTAAATTTAAAATACTATATAATAAAATTTAGATTCAATCTAATTTGTTGAGAATATTACCGTTGTACATCAAATTTGGGATTGTAGACATATTATGCTAGCTTTCGTTTCGTTTTGTTGTTTCTGTTTATTTGGAAACTAAAAGCCAATAAGTTAGTGCTTACCAAAAAAAAAAAAAAAAAGCCAAGTTAGTACTTGCAAGTCATAATCCTCGTAAGTTCGTAACATAGCAACAAGCCAACAACACGGTAAAATCAAAGTCTCATTGTGAAAGCAAAGTTCAGTTGCCTTGAAATCGCAGACTAAAAGTTATAAGGTTGTATTCTGGTACGAAAAGCACAAATGAGTGTCCAATTTTGCAACTTCGTTTCTTATATCTGTCTTCAACTTTACATGAAAGTAGGTGAGATGCATAAAAAAAATGTTCCGTTGTTTACCATATTCTGTGGTGGGAAATGGATTTTCTTATATGAAAAAGTGGTTATCTTGGTTATGTTATTTAATCATAACTACTCATTTAAAAATTATGCACTTTTCTCTTTCTTATCTCATCGTGAATAAGTGGTTGTGATCAAATACCATGATGACATGACCACTTTTCTGTATAAGAGGATCCATTCCCCTGTGGCCCCACAATTTCTTCAGTTTTATAGTTTGAAATTAATATTTTAACTGTTACAGCAAATAAAGTTATCTCCCATAATTTTAAAATAATGTCAATTAGAAATTTATGATAAAAAAATAAAATATTGTAGTAAAATGCATGGAGATAGTATATTATGCCTATATTTTTCATGCATACTTTATCTATTCATTTTCAATACTATTTGATCAGGAGAAAAAATCTCAACTAATTTTCAATTATTTTTTCTTCTTTTCAAATTCTAATCAAATAGTGTTGAAAATGAGTGTAAGTTAATTATAAAAAAATGTAGGCATAATATCCTATCCTAAATACATATTACAATAGGAAAGTGAAATTTTCAAAATGTTTTTTTTTTTTTTATTCTAAATCTCAAAATCATATCATTTTGAGTTATAGAAGATAACTTTACTTAGAAACATGTTTCCCTATTATTTATATATTTGCTTAAAACATGCACATATTCAGCTTTTCATATAGTTTTAATTACGCCTTGTGCATGAGGTTTTACATTTATTATTTAATATATCATCTCTTTTTGTGAAATTTTAAATAAGAATTTTCTTAGAGCTCCTATAATAATTTAATTAAAATAAAATAACTTAAAAACAACTTCTATAAAGGATGTATAAATGACTGCTTATTAATATGGTAATTAATATTACGAATCTAGTAAAGAATTTAATATTTTTTTCTTGACCCAAATGTGTTCTTTTGTAATAATAGAATTATTGATTAATAAAAAATATATTAATTAAAAAATTGAGTAAAATTCAAATTTGATAAATAAAGATTTTTTGTAGTTTATATTTTTACATATTATATGTAAATAAATATAACGTAAGGCATTAAATTCCATACAAATACAAGTTATTTTCTTTTTTAATAGTTGTGTAAGTTTTTTTTTTTTTTTTTTTGATAACAAGTAAACAAAGTTTAATTATCAATATGATTTGTCTAAAATTTATACTCCTTTAACGATGTATTAATGTATGATTAATCAAAATTCACTACAACAATTCTATGATTCATTGGTTGTTTAAAAAAAAATAATGAATCAAAATTAAATGCTTCACTTCTAGAAGGTTAAAAAGGAACACAGATCAAATTGAATAAATATCATCTAATGGTTAAAGAGGCATCATGAGTTCATGATCACGACGTTGATTTTTTGTGAAAATTGATTTTCTTATTGGAATGGAAAAAATATTTGTCATTTTAAATGACATAAAATTATGTCATTTTAGGAGAGAGATAGACACAAAATAATATTTTTTATTTAAAATTTAAATTTTAAAAAATTTATCCATTTTTTGTCTCAAATTTTTATTTACTGTGTTTATCTGTCTTCTAAAATGACAAATATTAAAACTTCTTTTGATTTGGGAATAAACTAAACTGTCGGCCGAGATGCATCATCTAGATGACCGTTGAACTAATAATATGCAATTTATTTAATATTTTTAAAGTAAAAGAAACACGCATGTTTTCAAAAGTTTTATAATTAAATATTTAAACTAATTCAAATCTCCATCGCTACACTCACGCTCCCGCATAGGACACGTAATATGTGACCGTTCAAAAAATAAACAAATTTGCACAAGTTACAAGGATTTGCTTTGAATAATTTAAAGCAAATTAAAGAAAAAAGGTAGCCGTACTTGGCTACTTGCTCTATTAAACAATCAATATTTATAACCCTTCAGTTAAAACAAAAAATTATGGAATCCATCAATAAAAATAAAAATAAAAAATTGATGGGACACATTTTTGTATCGCTAAGATGAGATGAGTTTCTCAATCAATAAGAGAAATTCATTTTTCATTAACTATTATGATATTCTATATATTTAAAACAAAGGGATTATTTCTCCTTAAATAGTGGAAGATAAGCTCTTTTATATTAAAAATAAAATAAAGCTCACTGATTTGATTTTTTAGAAAAAAGGAGGAATTTTTTTTTATATAAGAGCAATATAAGAAAGTACTCTTATACAATATAAGAATATAATTTTCCTTAAAACAATGATGAATTAGTAGAGTAAGGGATCCATCAATTAAAAAATATATTTGATGTGACATATTTTTATATCTATAAGATGTGATGACTAAAAAAAATTGATGCACCAGGATAAACTCATTCCCCGTTAACTATTACGATATGCTACGATGTTTTAAACAAGCAATGGTGAATTAGTAGAGTAGCTTACTGCTTTTTAACTATTTAATTTCCATTTTTTAAAACAAATATTAAGATAATTTTAATTTTAATTTTTTTTTTATCAAAGTAGTGCATCTTGACGCACGTATAGGGAATACATGTTTAAGTTGTGTATAAGATAGGTGCATGTTTGCGCGATTGACGAATCAACTTCTACCAATAGGCATATCACAAGCTAAATTAGCCACAACTATTTTTGAAGTTATGCATGATTATTGGCGCACTCACCACATGCGTGACATGTGTAATAATGACATATTAAATTATCCATAATTGAACCATAGCAAATTAATTGTAATTAAGTTAGCTTGTGCAACTTGGCAAACACT